AACTTACAGAACGACAATACCGGCAAAGCCATGAGGTACATAGAGTTAGATAGCAGACGTCAGTCTTCACGCCACTAGCCGATCGCGGCAATGATGTGCAGACCGAGACAACACGAGGGAGGGAAAACCCAATCCGAACAGGGGATATCAATCAATGTTTATTGTTCCCTTGTTCTCTGCCGTTTCCTCAACGGCCCTCCCAAGCTTGCCATTGGTCTGTGTAGCCCTTCTTCTTTGTCTAGTACTTTATTTTAGAATCTGGCGCGTTGCATACGTAGATGTCAGCTAAGGCGATGATGCGTATATCGCGCGAGAGATGACGTGAACTGCGCCTTCGACGAGGCAAGGATCATCGCCTGTGTTCATAGTATGGCCGGGTTAAACCTCCCGTTTAAGTTGATGGTGAAGAGAACCGGTTGGGGTAAGGGTCGATCGGCCGTCTCAGGCTAGATCACCGTCTCAGCATCACGGAAGGATCCCGTGGGTGTGCGGAGTAGCGAAATTGGGTCTGAGTGGTAACAAGAGGGCTGGAGGGACCTGAAACAAGCCACGAGGGGTCTAGACTGGGGCAGCTTAGCAATTGGCAGATGCGACATGTCGGATTTCGTTCCCAAGCAGGTTCTGTATCAGAGTATGTTTTTTTTTTTTTTCTCCTTTTCTTTTCTCCCTCTCTGTTGTTGTTTGTCGAGGGGTGGGTTTGTATGCTGCCGAGGGGGATGCATAACCATGGGTGCGCAGAACGTGGTTCGATAGGTAGGGTTCCAGTATATCAGACGGCATTATTGTTCAATAGTGTCGAAGGGAACAAGGTCTTTTTTAGGGTACCGAGTCGGTTAGTTTACCTTAATGCTTGCTGACTCAAATCACACGATCTTCAGGGTCCGGAAGAAAGTTTGGTACGGGAAACCCTGTTTTTTTTGATTGTTCGTATTTGCTGTTTCGTTTACCGGTCTTGATGGCGAACGGAGATTATTTTGACTTTTGAGTTTGTGTTTCCTCGGTCCGTATTGAAATTCTGGAAATACTGCCGACGTGCGGTGACTGTATTTTCCGACGTTTACCCTTGGTTTCTTCTTTTGACTTCCTTCGATGGAGTATGTTAGTTATCGAGATAGTGGTGCCTTGGTAATGCGTTGATCGGTGGGCTCGGCGATTAGCTGCTGCTGCGGTGGATTCACAGCCCACTTTCCTTCGATTACATTAACATAGTTCGATTTGGGCCTGCATGGAATATGTCATGTTCCGAACCTCTCAGGGTGAAGCTTCAGATCTCATATCCCGGTCCGATATACGTACGTGCTCCGCGTATGCTCTGGATGCTCTCGTCTACAATTGGGATAGAGAGAAGATCAGCCATCTGTCACGAGACGGCTCATGTCACCGTGAGGAATACGTATACCCCCGGGAAAAATAAGGCTTGTTCGGCAGAAATAAGAAGAAAAATCAGCAATGATCACCGTCGTCCCTTCGCTTCTACACTAACATCAGTTCACAATGTATGAAGCATCACAGACCGTATACTCTAACTACGTAAGCAGAGACGTCACGGAGTGGGGCTGGGCTTTTGACAGAGGACGCATGGAAGACAGCTAAGCGCTGCAGCTTAATCCTGCTAACAGCCCTAGTGCTTGTGCACAATAAGATAACGAAAGAGAAAGACACAGACCACCTCTCCTCGGCTTTCCACGCCTATCTAGACTTTTCTTAGTCCGAAGCTTAGTGTTTTGGCCTTGTGGCTCGTCATACGACCATACGTAAGCCAACGTCTTCTGAGCCACATCTAAGTGGAACCAACCTAAGGCAGCAACATTTCAACCCCCTCCCAGGGTCTATATTTTGCTTTCTCCAGAGATTGCGGCGCTTCGCTAAGATGATAACTTTATTGTTCCCCTTCGACTACTTACGTAGGTGCATACGAATGCTCTGGTCTGGAGTGGGGCGGGACGACGGATTAGGGCTGGCCGGTAGTAAGCGCCGAGGGAGCGTGATGGATGTCAACTGGGCTTAGCTGTTGGCCTGGCCGGGGTCCATGATTCAAATCCGGTGTGGCTGGTTTTTCATCAGGGTTCTTTTTTTTTTTTTTTTTTTTTTTTTCGGCCGGTCGTTTGTTGGGTCCGCTTTTTCTTTCCTTTCGCGAGCTTGGCAAATCGGATTATCCGAGCCAGACGATGTATGACTACGTACTCATCGTCCATTTTGGATAGAAGCGTCAACCCCGTTCAAAACTCGGTGGTATTCGGGAATAGTTTATTCTTTCTTGTAAGCTTAATTGTTGATTTGCTGAGGGATTGCCAAGGCCAGGAGTTAATCAAATTCGAGGAGCCCTAATCCTGCGGGCTGGCGGGCCTCCTAGCATCTGCCACGGTCATGGGTATTACTCCTGAGTTTTTTGTAATGGTGATGAGTATGCATGGGTGTAAATTAGCTGCTGCGAATTGTTCCACTAATCCGCGTAAATTTCCGACATGTAGTCAAACTATACAGAATAGTCGTATCAGATTCGTGTACTTTCTGTCCGAGTCAAGGAGCCAGTGTCGTATACTCTGCAGAATATTGTGGGCAACGCGTTGGCTATGAGGGAACTAGCACTAGTGAGGGACATTGGAGGGTTATTGGTGTATCTGCCCTGCTTCAATCTGTCATACTGCTATATGACGAAAAAATGTCGAGAATACTGGTCTGAATTATCAGTTGTCAAAACAGTACATTCTAGTTGTGCACACGTCTATGCACACAGAATTGTAGCATCTTGGCCGGTCATCTTACTCTTATGCTAGGACGCTCACTACTCACCTTTGGAATAGAGCGAGCATTGCCCCAGTAGGGTGAAGACTGCTCTGGTCATTGCCGTCATGACGGCCTCCGGTCGGCACCTCAGTATGAGTGTATGTCAGACCTATCTATCCTTCCTCAGTGTCTATGATGAAAACTCACAAGGTGTCTGTCGTCTTCCTAGGAACTCCTCCACACCATTCGCCCCCTCTGCCACCTCTTCTACTCGCCTCGCTGCCATGACCCTGGCGTATGATACCCCCTCCCCCTCAAATCACAAGCTCGCTCTTACCCATCTGTTCACACCCTGTCCACACCCATGAGCTCAGCGGGGCTCAGGGGCACCAATAGCCCTACACCCGAGAGCTGACCTGCTGGTGACTCAGTCATGGTCGGGCTTAGATGTTGTTTTATCCACTTCTAGCCAGAAAAGTCTGTCATTGACACAATATGTACTAGGATCAACAACCTCAATCTGTGGCTAGATGCCTTTCAAAATAATCGGCGTGGGTAAGAAGACTGCCCCTTTTCCCTGTGCATGAGATATAGGCATGGTGCTCAATAGTGAAAGGTGCGAAGAAACAGCTATAGGACCAGTGTAACGAAGCCGATGACCTATCTTGAACCACACCGCGGCCAATATATTAGCCAGAGCTGACAGAAACTGTAAGTGGCATATACTGACGGCCTCAAGCATCTATCCAGCTATGACAACATTCCCTGCGGTACACAATGCGGACAACCCACAGCTCACGTACGGTGGCGCGCCTTAGAAATAAGCGAATATCCTGGCAACGAAATTGCCTCCCTCTCTAGCCTTAAGCCCCGATGCGTACACTTGCGTGACGCAACAACAGAGAAATCAACCTATTCTCAAATACGACCTGTCGTGGTTCAGATTTCGAACCTCGATAGCCCCCAGGCAATGTCACAACACGATTGAAAGGATGTTACCCAGTGACGCGCTAGGGGTAAGTACATTCAGAAAGGTTCGGGGGCGGCTATACCAGGACGTCCACGGAGCAACAAAATTTAGTAGCACATATGTCATCGGGTTTAAGGAGTCTCGACCATTTCTGAAGGGTCGACTGAGGGCTAGAAACACATGCACATACGTGCTTCGAGGATGCGGACATTGTCCGAGCTGCCTCTGACTTGCGTTCATACCTTTTGAGTTGTCGCAAAGAACAATGCCTGTTGAACGATTGCTATCGGCGTGACCAAGTTCAACATTATGTGTCCGCAAGCTAATCTTTCAGGGCTTTATTGTATTTCACTGGACTTAAGAGTTTGGCTTTAGGTATGAAGTTGATCATACATCCCTATCTCCAAGGGACAAAGCCAAGTGAAACGTGGGCTCATTGTGACTAATGTATGGTAGGCGATGCCCCAGACGCCACTGCAGGGCTGCGCAGGGACCTTCCCTATTGTGGCTAAAGATGTCTCATACCATGCAGTAGTATCAATCGCATCTATAATAAGAAGCAAGTCTTTGCCAAGTTGCAATTATTTCATGTGATATCTTAATTAGTTGTCATGCACATACGTACCGTCTCGATCCGACTCAGCCCGCGAAAGGCACAGTGCAAGGTTGCTGGTATTTACTTTGAGGGGGTCGATTCGGATATTTATAGTACAGTTAGTACAAAGCAACATCACTCCTTCCTCTCCAATCAGCTTCGTATAACCAATGCATATCTATTTTCCACATTCTCATGGGCTCATGCTGATTTCATCAAGTGTTCATTCTGAGAAGTGGCGTGAGAATCACTACTGCGTACTACAACTATCAGCAGTGGAGAGTTTGCCCTGGCATGCCTGACGCTCACTGGAATGTAGAGCGTATCCCTTTTGACGCAGCCCCCGTCTCGTTAATTGGATAACACAACAAATACCGGTTTAAAGTAAGTATCGGGTTGCTTTGCTGTGTCTTTTGCGGAAGATAGTGTGTCCAATCTATGACTGCTATCACAGACTATGACTTCGATTGAGCATCAGTGGCAGCCCCTCAGGTATGTAGAACGCGAGCCATCGGTTTTGCACCAAATAAGGCGTGTGTGTCTGTGGTATCCGGGCTGGAGCGAATGTCCCAACCGCCCCATTCCACACAACGGCCAAGCAACCGCCAGGGGCAGATAGGGAGTCGACCGAAGGGTATATCTAGCGGTTGACGATCGCTCTGCCAAATTCAACCTAATACTTTATTGACTTCACGTTCTCGGTTCATATCCTCCGACCTGATAGTTCTCTGCACCACCGCTTATTACTTTTCACACATCCAACCCATTTAATTTTGATTGTTTGAAATCAAGAAAAATGGCGTTGCTTGCCAAGGCATCATCCCTAGCTTGCCTGCTTGTTCTGACCTTTCTGGCTCTTGCCTCTATCAGCCACTCGCACCCCATCGGGGAGATCTCCAGATCTGCGACGTTGCAAGGGCGCAATCCGGATCCGGTATGTCCCAAAGACACTGCATTGATTAGCAACTGGGAAAGAAAACCACTAACCGTGTATGACAGAGAATGATACCAAGTTCCAATGATTTGGTCGGTAATATCTTCAAAGGTCTTGGATTAGACAACTTCGAGAAGCTCAACCAATGGAAGCAAAACCAAGCTACGGGTCAGAGTAGCAGCAACACGTCTACCAAAGCACAGGACAATAGCACCCCCGGTGACGACCACACTGCAAAGCAGACGGCCCCGAGTGGCCTGGCGGACCCTGCGAGCGACCCCTCCGGTTTTGTGTCGGGGTTATTGCAGTTGCTAAGGGATAGATTCAAGCAATCGTTGCATAGCAGTGATGAACACACCTTGAACTAGGTGATCATGAGTGTGATGGGACTGTGACAGTTGATGATCCAGATGCTTGGCCTGTCTTCTATTGCTTTGTTGGTTTTTCTTTTTCTTTCTTGTTCAAATCAATTCTGTGTTAATGCTCTGTTGAGCAGCTGCGTTCCCCAACGAACTCTATCAGCGGTGTAACGATTGATGACGGGATGGGCAATGGCGAAAAAGTTCCGAAAATGTTAGTAATACTCAATAGATTAGCTCGAATACACCTAAATGGCAACAATGGCATTCACTGGAGAGTCTCGGCGTCAGTCTCTTATCACCGCGTGCTCGTCGAGCCGCGGAATCTATATCCTCCCGGCATACACGATAAATCCGCACCTTAAATCCGTGCCGTGTGGTCCGGCGAATCTTAACAGTAGGATATACTCCACTATGACTCCATACCTCTACCGTACATAGTACCAGTCACTGATCCGTTTGATAGTCACACCACACACTCCCAACGGGTAATGGCCGAATGACCGATTTCTAAGAATTATTGATCTCTGAAGGCAGCCAGATGGGGCGATAACCCAATTGGGGTGTGGTGATGGAGGTTCGCTGCAAGGTCCAAAGCTTGATATGAGCTGGAGTATACCGCCAATTCGCTTTTATAAACCGCCGCTTTCGCCTCTCCAGTGGAGATCCCCTCCCACTTCATTCAAACTTCATCGACTGGCGATTGCACTTGAGTCGCACCTGAATTGCTCGGTTTTTTATTCTCTGCTCTCCTCCGTGGCTTTTCTTTTTCTTTCTTCTCCAGCTTAACACAATTTAATCGTTCTTGCGATACCATGCCTTCTCTTGTTGGACGGGATATTGGCCATACTGGCTATGGGTTGATGAGTATGTAGACTTCTTTCTTTCTTTCTTTCTTTCTTTCCTCTTTTCGTTGGTGGAATTCGCAGTTATAGTCATGTTTTTTCTTATCCATGATACACTATACAAAATGCAAGCAAAGAAGAAGAAGAGAAGAGATCCAACCCACAGATAGTTAACCCCCCACTGCAGGAATGACTTGGGTCCCTCAACCACCCCCGCAAGAACAATCCTTCGAGGCCCTGAACACCGCTCTCTCTCAGGGCTCCAATTTCTGGAACGCCGGTGAACTCTACGGCACACCTGAACACAACTCCCTGCATCTGCTCCATAATTACTTTGTCCAGCACCCGGAGAATGCGGACAAGGTTGTGCTCAGCATTAAGGGTGGGTTGAAACCGGGCCAACTGGCGCCGGATGGCTCCGAGGCCAATATTCGGCGCAGTGTGGATGAGTGTCTGCGCGTTTTGGATGGGAAGAAGAAGATTGATATCTTTGAGTGTGCGAGACAGGATCCCAACACTACCGTGGAGCAGACGGTGACTGTTCTTGCGCAGTATGTTAAGGAGGGGAAGATTGGGGGCATTGGGTTAAGTGAGGTCGATGCGGAGACTATTCGGAGAGCGTATGTTTTTTTTTTTTTTTTTTTTTTTTTTTTTTTTTTTTTTTTTTTTGGTTTCTTTCGTGCACCTCTAGCTCTATGATTCTTTGACCCTTGGTTTCTACGGTTCACATTTTATACTGGATTATGACTGACTCAAGCATACAGACACAAGGTACACCCGATTGCGGCCGTAGAGGTTGAGCTATCTCTGTTCGACCTCACCATCCTCCAGAACGATGTCGCCAAAGTATGCGCGGAACTCAACATCCCCATTGTGGCGTACTCGCCATTGGGACGGGGTGTCCTGGCCGGCGCCTTCACTACCGCCGCCGACATCCCCGATGGTGATTTCCGGAAGACGCTGCCCAAGTTCCAAGACGAGGCAATGAAGCACAACATCAAGCTGGTCAACGAGGTCAACGACCTCGCCTCTCGGAAGGGCGTTGCCCCCGTTCAGATCGCACTCGCCTGGGTTCTTACCCTTAGCGACAGGCCTGGCATGCCTACGATTATCCCTATCCCTGGGGGCACCACGAGCGCCAAGGTGACGCAGAACTTGCAAGCGCCTCGTCTGACCGATGCAGAGATGGCGGAGATTGATGCAATTCTGAAGCGGAATGAGATTGTTGGGGGTCGGTACTGAGGGGTTACGGTACAGTAATGGATGATTCGATTCTCAATCATGTCTTGGTAGATTTGTCACTATATGATGAACTAGATAATGAAAAACAAAATAGATTTCAAGAAATTGTTCCATATCCTTAGAAGTGATACAGTATCCTAGATGGTTCTGCGATAGTTAGCGCTATGTTGTCCGCAATGATGATGGAACAAATTGTGCATAACGAACAAAGTCAGATCAAGTGTAGAAATGTCAACATCCAATCTCGCCACAGTAAACTGAGGAGATTGTCCGAATTGCAGAATTCTTATAGAATAATCATCATGCAAACCAAGGACTAGATTATCAGTAGGGTACGTACCATTAGCCGAGGTTACAGGGTGGTAGTCGACACTCCAGTTCGGTCCGGTATATAAAAACAATCCGTCTAATTAAGGATATCCTAGTTGTAGTGGTAATCGGCTGGAAATGCCATTTTAAATCCAGACGATTGACGTACAAAAGGATGTGCAATCCACCCCGAGAGAAAGTAACACAAGGAAAAGGGGGGGAAGAAAGAGGTAAAGAAGGAGAGAAGGAAAGAAGGAGGGAAAATGTTGTGGGCGGTATTTTGTCCGTCCGCAATAGCCTCGTCACGTGCCGTGCGGGCTGTATACTCGATCGCCCCAGCCTTGACACCTCTATTGACTGATTGACGCTTTGTTCCGTCGCAGGACCACCCGGTGTTCGTCCCTGTCGAACAATTGACTTCACTGATTCCTCCCCTACTGTTCCTCCCCCGCTCTCTCCCAATGACCGAATCTCCGGGTTCCCCTCTCTCTTCCATCGCCTCCGACGACATGTCGGATCGCGAGGAATTGAAGCAGGGCTTCTCCCCCTCGGCCTCAAATATGCCTCCTTCCAAGCGCCGCCGCACCGGCATCGCATCCTGGGATCGCAATACCCCCGTCTCAACCACCTTCCAAGATGACATCCCTCCGGCCTCCCCGTCGTCTTCCATCTCCTCGGACACCTCGGGCGACATCCCCAACTCCCCCGGCATCCTGGCCCTTATCGGAGGCGGCCAGGACGACGACTACAGCGGCCAAGGCAACGACCAGGTGACCGTATGCCGGTGGGAAGGATGCGATGCCGGAGATCTGGGAAACATGGACGACCTCGTCCAGCACATTCACAACGAGCACGTCGGCAGCCGACAGAAGAAGTATTCCTGCGAGTGGTCCGACTGCACTCGAAAGGGCCAAACGCATGCAAGCGGATACGCACTGCGCGCGCATATGAGAAGCCATACGAGAGAAAAGCCCTTCTACTGTGCGCTACCAGGTGCGTTCGTTCCCTCGACACAACACCGGCCCCCCCCCTCATTCGGGGTGAAGTAAAGGGCAAAAGCAAAGCAAAGTAAAAGGCTAACTTGCGACCAGAATGTGACCGCAGTTTCACCCGTTCAGACGCCCTCGCCAAACATATGAGAACAGTTCATGAGACGGAAGCTCTTCGACCTTCTGATCCCGTACCGAAGCACCATAATGCGCCGTCCGCCGCTGGCACCCCTGCAGGGACACCCGTGAGCAAGCTCCAGCGCATCAAGTTGAAGCTTTCGCATCCGCCTAAGGATGAGTTCGAGCAGCCTAGTGAGAGTGTCACTGATGAGAACAAGTTTTTGGACGGCTATCTGGACGAGTGGGAGGACCCCGGGTACAAGCGCGAGCTCGGCTTCGAGGATTACGAGTGCTCGCTTCCGCCGCAACAACTGTATCGACTCCTCCGTCGACAAATCCACTGGGCAGAAAAGGAAACAGCAGACCTACGCGATGAGTGGGAGAAGATCCTGCCAAAGAGAAAACATTCGTTTCTGGAGAAGGAGGCCATTTTCGAAGACGTCTGTGATGCTGAACTGCGACTATTCAGTCTCCTCATGGGCAGCGACTCCGCAGCGCCCGTGTCATCAACCGCTGCCACAAACGGAGCAAAGAAGCAGCCCGAGGCAGCAGCAGATACGGAAATGATACTGAACCCGGAATCAGAGTCGGTAGCAGCATAAAAGAGATACTCTGCTTTGTTTTTTTTTTTTTTTTAATTTGGTCGGTCAACCTACGCCTCCTCGGCCTCATCTTTCCTTCTACAATACCTTATCCTCCTCTCCTCATATCTCTTCTCATACTCTTATCTTCTTTCCCTGTCCTTGTCTTCTAGGGGTATAACTTTCATGAACCAAGATACCTAATCGGATCATATTCTTTCCACGTTTTGGAGCACGGTTGTCAGTCATGGTGTGATTTCTCTTGTTTTCGGTAACACTGGTATTGAATTTTGTTATTTTGTACTTTTATGGAATAGGAATTCGATCCTTGCTTTTCATTGCACCTGCCATACGCTTAAAGTGTTATATAGATCTCGCCAAGCTGTCTAATAGAGAACGGAGCACATAGGTCGTTTGTAGGGGTAGAACTGGCCCGAAGCTTATGCCACATGACCAGTTGGCTACCTTCATTTACTTCGCAAAAGAGAAGAAAACAAATGAATTGGAACATAATCTTTTATTCTTTTCGTTTTGTCCATTTATCAACACAGATGGCAGACAGGGTTATCGATTGATTTAAAGTCGCAGAAATCTCCGACCACAATCCGAGTAGCTCAGAAAGAAATAGAAATCAGACGTCTAATGATATCTCAATATGTCTCCTAAAGGAGATAAATGATCCAAAGCAGAAGTCAAAACTCCGGGAGGGCACCGCCAATAAGATACATGAAATGAAGTGAACACCCATGACCGCAGGGCCCACTGCCAGTGAAGGGGGGTCCCTGTTGTGGAAGAAAACGCGAGAAGGGAGATAGCAACGAAAAGCAAAATGTGAGGTAAGGTCCATCACTCCGTGGAAACGGGGGGACCAGGCTCAGGAAAACAGATATGCGAACATGTCGGCAAGCCTTTTGCTCCAACCGCAGAACAGAAATAAATGTGAAACATAAAAAGCCAAGTTATATCATGGAAACATCATATCAAGTCCACTCATGCTCAACACTCCTTCATATATCATACCAGACGCCGTCGCCATGCTTTCCCAATGATGCATATTTACCGTGAATGAAGAAAGTAAGAAAGAAAACGAATACACCACAGAATCGAAGTAGACGATCTTTTTTGTTTTGCTACACCATGCGAGCACCGCGCTAGCTTCCATTGGAAGCTGGGGCGGCAGCTGCAACTTTCTGCGCAGCCATCAACTTTCGATACATTTCTTGGAGTTTGGCTCCTCCAGCTTCTTTATTAGGCCAATGATTATCCGCCACAAAATGCCTGCTCATTTAGTCAGTGAGAGATATTAAGACAATAAACGCGAGAGACAAACCATAAACGGGTCTCTAAGGCATGAACAGAGCCTTGTCCCTTCAAAGTACCATCTATAAATTCACCGATCTTACGGAGAAGATTCCGTAACTCGGAAGCCCGCTCCGCTTTACTCGGGTAGTTCTCCTTGGTAACAGCCGAGACCTTCCTGAGGTCTTCACGAATGGGCTTGAAGAAGAGGCGTGCGACGTCCTCCTTGCCTGCAGAATAGCCGTTCTCACTATTCTTCCGACGACGAACATCCTCACTCGACGCATCGGAGGTCCTATGGCGGGCGCGTTCGCTCTCATGAATAGACCTTGGTCGGGAGTCATAGTTCGGGGTGTGATGGCGTTCAACACTATCCCGAGCCCCATGAGTATGAGAACGATGCCTTGACCGATCCATCTCACGATGGCCCTTGCGTGAGATCGAAGGCGCGGGAGAAGCAGAAACGCTAGTACTAGCGTGGGGCCGAGAACCTTTGCGATTATTGCGGTGGTGATTCTCAACAGCCCTCTTAGCGTTGACGCTTGCACCGTTGGTAACTTTGTCTTTGAGAACGGATAGCAGATAATCTGCCCGGCGGACAAGGTGAACAGCGCCAGGAGACTTAGTAGACTTATCTTCTGCGTTCAGGCGCTCGTTTTTCCGTTCAACCCGGTGCTCCTCAAGGAAAAACTTATCCCCAAGTCCAAGATCTGGATCATCTCGAATCTGAGCCCAGGCACCATAGCCGTGACGTATGATGCCAATGCAAAGCATTCCATCTTCCCGGGCACCCCATGGACAGGAGTAGTCAGCCGCCTTGGTGGCTTCGGGGACCCGAAAATTCCTGAAATCAGACAGTGCGTTTGTCGCTTCCTTCAGGATCCGCATCTCAGCGGGGCGCTCAACGATGGTATAGGCGTTAAGACGCTTAACACCGTGTAGATCAAAAAGAACAGCTTTCTTCTCCTTCTTAGTAGGCATTTTGCCGGCATGTTCAAGAGCTTCCATCTTCTCAACATCCTCGCGGACAAGAGAGGAAGCCTTCTCAGTGATCTCACGAAGTGCAGCCTTAACAGTCTCCCTGTCACGATCCAGCAGACGCGCCTCACGAATAACATCCTCTTCGCGATCATCTATATCACCATAACGCAAGAAGGCACGCAACAGGTGGCGATACTCCTTCTCTATAAGTGGCCGTTTTGGATCCAGTTGCGTATTCGAATCGGATTCGTCGCCATCATCAAGGGCAACTTGAGCCCTCGCTTGCCTCTTTGCTTTGCGCTCTTCACGAGAATCTCGCCCGTCCCCAGGCACATTACGTTTGCGTGGCCGATTTTGTTCGATAACCTCGGCGAGATAGCGTTCGTCAGCCTTCTTCTTCTCCTCAGCTTTGATTTCCTCCAGCTGCTCCTTGGGGATAATATCGTCCCATGTAAGGTCATCGACCTTGATATCGACGTAGTCAAAGGCCTTGAGAAATTCTTCACCGCCATCAGCTTGGATCTCCTCGGCTTGTTCGGTCTGGTGCAATTCTGCATTTGCAAGCACGGAGTCAATGTCAAGCTGCTCCAATTTCTCTTGGTTTCCGGTCTGTTCGAACATTCTCTGGCCACGACGCTTGAGAATACGGGAAATATCCTCGGTCGAGTTTGGTTCAGTGATGGAAATTCCATTTCGCGCCATCTTGTTTTGGATCTCTGATGCTTCCTTGTCGGTGACACCACGCTGAATTGTGATGAATTCCAAGAGAAGCTTATTCCGGGCCCTCTCAATGACTTCCTCTTCCACTGTATCTTTCGAGACTAGACGATACACGCTAACCGGCCTCGTTTGTCCAATACGATGTGCTCTTGCCATGGCCTGCAGATCGGCCTGGGGATTCCAATCCGAGTCGAACAGAACAACTGTATCAGCGGTCATGAGGTTAATTCCTAGACCACCTGCTCGTGTAGAGAGGATGAAGGCGAAATCGCTGCTTCCAGGGGCATTGTAGTGCTCGATGGCCAGGCGGCGAGAGGCCGCCGGAATCGTTCCATCAAGCCGTTGATACGTATAGCCACGAAATTCCATATACTCGCCAAGAAGGTCAAGCATTTTAACCATTTGACTGAAGATTAAGACACGGTGGCCGTCACGTTTCAACTTTGCTAAAAGCTGGTCGAGAAGCATCATCTTGCCACTGCTGGTGATCATGGCTCTCAACACATCCTCTCGGCGAGTGCTGCCGTCCAAAATCTTCGCTTCAGCATTCGGAAACATGAAAGGGTGGTTACTGGCTTTCTTCAATTCCATCATAATGTTCAAAAGGGACTGTTTTTGGCCCTTAGCGCCATCGTTCAGCGCAGCATAGTTCTTTGTAAGAATGTTCTTATAATACTCCAGCTGAACATCCGACAGCTCTACTCGAATGATCTTTTCCACCTTGGGAGGCAAGTCTGATTCGACTTTAGATTTTGTTCGCCGAAGCATGAAAGGTTGTATGGCCTTAGTCAACTCCGCAAGCTTGTGAGAGGCAGCCTCCGCGTTCAAATCCATGTCGGCATCAATTTCAACCATGCCAGGGTTTAAGAAGTCCAGAAGGGCAGAAAGTTCAGCCAGGTTATTCTGAATAGGAGTACCGGTAATAAGGAGTCGAGCAGGAGACCTAAACTCGAGGAGCTTTGCATAGAGCTGAGATTCACGATTCTTGAGACGGTGTGCCTCATCGATAGCCATGAATTGCCATTTGAATTGGCTCAGGAAAGAGGAGTCAAGGAGAACATATTCATAGGTTGTTAGGAGGACGTTGAATTTCGGCCGTCGAGGATTGCCATCAATCATGAGCTCGTGCTCTCGCAAAACTGTACGAGCAGCTTCGTTACCGTTGTAGACAACATAATTCAGGTCGGGAGTCCAGTTATCGAACGTCTCCGCCCAGGAAGGCATAGTAGACAAGGGAACGACGACGACGAAAGGCCCTTGCTGGCGTCTAACATGCCGTAGCCAGTTAATGAATGAAACAGTCTGTACAGTTTTACCTAAGCCCATTTCGTCGGCAAGAACGACATTGCGGTTCTTGACCCAGTTGAAGGCCATAAAATTGACACCCTTAACCTGAAACTCCTTCAACTCGCCGTTGCGCAAGAAGCTTGGGGTGCCCTTGATAGCTTCAAATGATTTTCGGCTGGCAGGGTTGGTCTCCGACTTGTCGGAGACTGGAGGCCGAGAGGAACGATCTAAGAAGCGATCTATTTCGCACTGAGCAATTTCACTAACGAGTTCCTCGTTTTCCCATGTGCAGGAGTCGTAAAAGAGGCGTTTCCATTTAACGAGGTATTCGGCTCCCTCGTCGCCTTCCCGCGTAGCAATGACTCGCTCAACCTGTTTGTAATCCTCAATGGCGTCTACGTCTCTTTCGCGATCAAGGTTCCACTTTTCCCGATCCTCGGGGGCTACATCCTCGTCTTGCCTCAAGCGAATGTCTTCATACAGGACCTTTCGGATGTAATTGTCAAGGCGGCGCGTGCTGCGGCAGTTGGCAATAGACTCGGCAGTTTCCCATGTTGCGTGGTAATGGGATTTGCCTTGCCATTTTATGTAGAACTCGAAGTCATGACGATCGAGGTCGGTATTACTAGAGTCTACACCTGCTTTCAGACGGTGGTTGAGAACAACATCCACGGCAGGACGATCATCTTCCACTGCATTCACCCAGTAGTTCTGCATTAGATCATCTGGGTCTTCCTCGAACATTGAGTCATCATCGTCCTCATTGTATGTGGAGACCCTAGCAGCATTTCTTGTCGAGAAGCGGACCTCGGCATGAGAAGGTTCGCTTGCAGACGCCTGCTGTCGGCGACGCTTCGCCTTGCTTGTGCGAGCACGGCTGCCCCCATATTCGGATTCAGATGTTTCTGAATCTTCCGAGAATGAAGACTGGGTTGCGGAGCGGGAGGGGCGCTTGGAGGGTGGTTGTGAAGCTACAGGGCGCCGACGCTTTGAGCGAGGCGCCACTGCATCCGAGTCTGAGTCTGAGAGAGACTGGGCTACCTGACGTGTCGTACGAGCGCGTCCACTACGGCGAAGTCCGTACAGATCTGGATTTTGTCTGATATAGTCTGATTCATTGACCGAGGATGATTTGCGTTTTGTCCCCCGTCCGAATTCAGATGAAGAGTTTTCGCTACTGGACTGGCTACTGTCCTTTGCATTGTCCTCCATTGCTGAATCATCCTCGTACCCTTCTGCATCAGGAGAGTCGGCGTTGAAGGACTCGTCCGCGGCGTCAGGATCCGGGGAAGAGTCGGAAACGACGTGGTTGTCAACAGAATCGAACATGTTGCTGTCACCATCACTAGCTAAAGGCTCATTCCTAAAGCTGGCGGTGTCGGAGGCAGGGGAGGCCGGATGACCATTGGCGAACGCCATCATGGTCGAGGGCTCCGAGGTAGGTGGGATCACCATGCTAGTAGCTATGTGAGAAGAGACATTAGCATTGAAGCTCAGGGCAGGCCTGGCGAGGGATGAAAGATGCAGCGTGACATAAAACAGCAGTACGCGACTCAGTTTCCGATCAATAGGAGCTTGGAAGTCATGACAACCAGGTAGGAGGCAGGATATGATGCACGGATGCTATTTTTGATGGAAGCTCTGATGGAACGCGACAAAGAGGGTTGATGTGAGTATTATGGATGTAGGGACAAAATCATAGACAAAACCAGACTCAGGAGAAGAGCTACATCCAGACCTTGACCTGAAGGAATTCAGAAAACCTCAACACAAGATATGGAGAGGAATTCTTGTGTTTCTCGGTGGGTCGAGACCGTGGAGAAGTACCCCAGCCGACAGTACCAGGACACGTCTGAAAAGGCTAGAAAAGAAGAATAAAATACTCACAATCCATAGCTTGGTGACCCCAAGGCAGGATAAATTGAGGGAAATAATGGTGAAAAAGGAATGGAGCGAGGTGGGGAAGAGGGGGGGGGGATGAAGTGGTGGAGAGGGCGAGAAATGAAGACCGCTGAGAATATGATGAGGGAGTAGAAAGAGAGTTGTACGTCGGCTGGAGGTGAGCAAGTCTCCGTGAAGGGATTGGCTGGCAGCCTGATCCTTCAGGCTGTCACAACCCACCATCCTCTGTGTGGCTTAGCGCCGGCACAAGCGAGACTCCAATAGGCTTCGTGGCACCGCTGTATCACGTGATTCTATATGACGGATCATATGATATTCCGGAGAAAAATCGGGGACGCACCCACTCACCAATCATAACCGGAAGAAATAATGCAGTCATGCTTTCTGCCTGAGGCAGGCACGGTTGCCCACAATGCCTGACATAGTTTTCTTCTCCAAGCCCCTCTTTCTCGAGGCCTTTCAGCACTATCCTTTCCTCCACTTCAGTACCTGCTGGCAATCTGATCGCGCAGTTATCTGGTGTCTCTTGCCTTCTGCCAGCACGACTGGAGCAGTGTCAACTTTTCTGCCCGGTAGAGGCCACTCCACTGCAGACATTGCTCTTACATCTACTTATACATATATATAGCCATCGGTCTACCCATTTGCGCGTCGAAACGACTTGAACAGGCACCATGTCTGACAAGCTTACCAGGTATGGTCCCTTGTGATGTAATTAATGCCATATACACAGAAGCGTTTCCTAATCCGATTTTGTTTATAGAATTGCTATTGTCAACAGTGACAAAGTAAGTTCGAAAGTGCCCCGCTGTCGATTGTATAGGTATACGACTTTTTTGCTCACGCATACTTTAATCAGTGCAAACCGAAGGTACGCGGCACACACCTGCTTTCTATTTCCATTTACAGGTTGATACTTATATATTCTCAGAAATGTCGCCAGGAATGTAAGAAGTCTTGCCCCGTCGTCCGTACGGGTAAGCTTTGTATCGAAGTCACCCCCGAATCGAAGATCGCCTTCATTTCCGAGCGCCTCTGTATCGGTTGCGGTATCTGTCCTAAGAAATGTCCTTTCGGTGCGATCCATATTATCAACTTGCCGACCAATTTGGAAACCGAGGTCACCCACCGTTACTCCGCGAACAGTTTCAAGCTTCACCGTCTTCCCATGCCTCGCCCCGGACAGGTCCTTGGTCTCGTCGGTACAAACGGTATCGGAAAGAGTACCGCTCTGAAGATTCTTAGCGGAAAGCTGAAGCCTAACCTTGGACGTTATGACAACCCTCCTGACTGGGAAGATATCCTGAAATATTTTCGTGGTTCCGAACTGCAGAGTATGTTTCACTTTGGAGCCGTGTGGGAAGGAAATAACGGTTGCTAAAATTAAGTAGACTATTTTACCAAGGTGTTGGAAGACAACTTGAAGGCCGTTGTGAAGCCTCAGTATGTCGACCAGATCCCTAGAGCAGTGAAGGGTCCAGTCCAGAATGTCGGCGACCTCATCAAAGCTCGTGCTCAGATGGACAACATGGACCACATCCTTGATGTCCTTGGTATGTAGAACTTACAATCTTGGCTCGTTCCATCGCTAACCAGGACTTTTTCACAGAGCTTCGGCAAGTTCACGGACGTGACATTGGCCATCTTTCTGGAGGAGAGCTTCAGCGATTCGCCATTGGCCTGGTTTGCGTCCAAAAGGCCGACGTGTAAGACGGATTTGCCTGATTTTATGCTTGTCACTTTGGTTCTGACAGAGTTATAGTTACATGTTTGACGAACCCTCTTCTTATCTTGATGTCAAACAACGTCTCGCTGCCGCCCGTACCATTCGAGAGCTTCTGCGACCCGACGACTATGTTATCGTTGTTGAGCACGATTTGGCTGTCCTTGACTACCTTTCCGATTTTGTTTGCGTGCTTTACGGAAGACCTGCGGTTTATGGTGTGGTCACATTGCCCTCTTCGGTTCGTGAAGGTATCAATATCTTCTTGGATGGTCATATCCCAACTGAGAACCTTCGATTCCGAGAGGAATCTCTCACCTTCCGTCTCGCCGAAGCAGGTGATGACTTCCTGGTTAACAGGGACCGTGCTTTCAGCTATCCAAGCATGGAGAAGACTCTTGGTAACTTCCACTTGAAGATTGATGCCGGTAACTTTACAGACTCGGAGATTGTCGTCATGATGGGAGAGAATGGTACCGGCAAGACCACCTTCTGTAAGATGCTTGCTGGCGCCGAGAAGCCCGATAACGGTGTCTCAGTGCCCAAGTTGAACATCAGCATGAAGCCTCAGAAGATTACCCCCAAGTTCCAAGGCACCGTTCGTCAGTTGTTCTTCAAGCGTATCAAGGCGGCTTTCTTGTCCCCACAGTTCCAGACCGATGTCTACAAGCCCCTCAAGATCGATGATTTCATTGACCAGGAAGTTCAGAACCTGTCCGGTGGTGAATTGCAGCGTGTTGCTATCGTCCTAGCTCTCGGAATTCCCGCCGACATTTACTTGATTGACGAGCCTAGTGCTTATCTCGACTCCGAGCAGCGTATCGTGGCCGCGAGGGTCATCAAGCGTTTCATCATGCACACCAAGAAGACCGCTTTCATCGTCGAGCACGATTTTATCATGTCGACTTATCTTGCTGACAGAGTCATTGTTTTCGACGGAAAGCCTTCCATCGATGCGCATGCCAACGCCCCCGAGTCTCTGGTTACCGGTTGCAACAGTTTCTTGCGGAGTCTGGATGTTACCTTCCGTCGTGATCCCAACAGTTACCGTCCTCGTATCAACAAGTACCAGAGTCAGATGGACCAGGAACAGAAGTTGAGCGGCAACTACGTAAGTCTACTGAGTTAGTATTGCACACAAATTTTATGCTGACGTTTATATCCTTAGTTCTTCTTGGAAGACGAGAGTTGAAAAGGTTGTCCCAGGGAAGCGTGACCGCGACCGTCATAGAGATTATGATGATCGCGACCCCCACCGGCGGCAAGATCCACGTCGCGGGAAACGGAGGGACCTTCGGTTAGTGGCGTTTTTCGGCGTTACCAAGGCTTCAACTCGAACTAGGCGGCGCCGTCTTCGTGGTGTGCGCCCTCTTGGTGATATGGATGGTGCTTCGGAGGAGGAAGACGATGAGGAAGACAACAATGACTAGGGCCGGTGGTCTACCTGTTCCAGTCCGCTTTGCTGCGTCCGGTTGTCGTCTCATTGTTGTCCTTCTCACACCCACACCCACACCTCTGTCCGCTAAATTTATTTTTTTGTCTTCGCCATTTTCGTACGTGGAGACATAGGACCCTAGTTCAAATGGGGGATTTTTGGGTAATGGTTTTTTGGATGGCGTGATCATTCGGAGTTGTGATTGTCAAAAAGTTTTGATGATTTTATGGCATAGATGGTCACTTGACCGGCATGTAGATGATTCAGCGAAGGCAAAGGGACTGGATATAGGTCAAGATAGCTGACCATAGTTCATATTCTTCACTTGTCCGTGAAATAGCCTTGTTGCTTACACGTATTGTATATACGGTAGTCAAATGAAGTAGGGAATATTCACATGTTGCAATTTGGGTGTGATACTGGGTACGCCAAAGTATCTGGTTATGTATGGAATTAAGAGATTCCAGTGAGTCGGACCTTTTTGTATCCCAAGTGCCGCTGCAAAGATTGTTAGTATCTAATGGGCCCTGGTCTAATCGACGACCTCTGTGAAGTCTCTGATCAGACAAGAGTTGTCTATTACAATAGTGATGTATAGTATATTTTAAGTTTCTTTTTCGTCTTTTACGCACTCCCGATGACATATTTGTTTAACTGTTAGTGCTCAAATACCCCAGATAGTAACTAAGCCTGGATATAGTATAGAGTTATATATCTTCCCGTCTCAAGAGAACAACCAACATCTGGTTCTAAATGGTAGCATATACAAACCAAAGCAGATCCATCAGCAAGAGGCGCATTTCTCTGTTTTTAAGATACCTTCCAACTGAAAGCCGTGTCTTCCATTGCGTTTTCAGAGACTTGGGTATGTATCAGTACCCCAAGCCTTGATGAACCTGTGTATCTGGAGATTACGAAGCACAGGACAAAATAAAACAGGAAATATATCATGAACAGCACATAATGATCTCTCTGCAAGCTCTGGAAAGATGTACCGAATCTGATCTCTAAGACAACTCTGCAATACAAGTCCAGGTTTGAGTAAACCCGCAGACTCGTTCAACATGACCTGTCTTGAACAAAAACAAGGCTCGTGACAATAATTTGATATCCTATGATAAAGGCACTGTATGTTTCTTGTCATTGATCTTCTTAGAAGGATTGTTGTCACCATCATAACCTAAAGAACATTATTCGGGAATATGAGGTGTTAGAGATAGATCTACATCATATACTGTGGTTCATCAGAAGGACTACGAATTGGAGCAAGACAATTTGTCTTTCCTTTGACAAGAGAGATACTTGATATATGTTCAACCATCTATTACCTAGCATAGGTAGACCGTTTTGGACTATGGACTTGGAGAATTACAAACTATCTGGGCACATACGTGTAATTAACCGAGGTCATCATTAAGAGGCACTGGGCACTGCTAGCCTTGGGGCGGACATATTGATATCAAGGCTAGGTAGGCTGCTCGGAGTATGCTCTGCTATGGACCCCCAAAGGGCTGAGCTTAGGGACTGTACTCGAGTAGCGAGAGAAAAACGATGATCCGAGTGCTGGATAGTCTAGTGCACGTATTGAATGTCAAGAGGTTGGAATAACCGTTATATTGCCAGTGCCTAGAGCCCTTTTTGTTCACTTGAAATTGATGTATTGACTTCCTAACTGCATACCCATTCATGATAATACTTAAAAATACTTAATCTTCCTCGATCTCCCCTTCCTCACTACCAGAATGAACAGCCTTCTCCTCCTTCTTGGCTTCCTCTACGGCTGGGGTGCGCTCGCGACGGTCTTTGTCACGCTTGGGACCTCCACTGCGCTCCCGTTCGCGGCTGTCACGACGATACCGTTTAGCAGAGCGACTAGCAACGCTTTCTGTGTCGCTATCACGCCTGCGCCGACGGTCATTGCTGACGGTGCTTCGAGTGTCCGCACCGTAGTCCAGTTCGTCCCGATTACCCCGTGGATCACCGCGGGTGCGATAGAGTCTTTCACGCTCTTCTTCCCGGTCGCGGCGTTCGCGGTCATAGTGACTGAGAGAACGAGTGCTTCGTTCACGATCACGATCACGCTCGCGGTCACGGTCACGCTCGCGGTAGCGGTCCCTATCTCGGTCCCTTTCTCGATCACGTTCTTCTCGCCTCTCTCGTACCGGTGAGAGCCCACTAACTTTCCGGTAGGAACGCTCGCGGTCTGCCTGGGCTTTACGCCGGTCTGCCTCGTACGCATCTGGTTCTGGGGTACGACTAAGGCGACTAGAAGCGCCTCGCCTCTCGCCTCTATAACTACGATGATCACGCTCACTGCGATCATAATGATCGCGTCGGCTGCCACGATCTCGGTCACGGTCCCGATCAGTGTCCTCTTCCTTCTCCTTTAGGCGGCGAATGACCTTGTCAAAAGCAGCCTGTCGAAGCTCATCTGATTCGATGGCCTTATATTCCTCGTATTTTTCAACCCTGGGCCGCACTTGTTCCCAAGTATCTGTCTGTCGGACAGGAGGCTCCAGACGTTTAATCCGCGAGCGTAGAGCATCAACAGCACGGCGCTGATGACGATCAGCCGCATGCTTTTCCTCTTCAGTACGTCGAATTGCTTTATCCTGAATGCGCTGGAAGATAAGTTGAAGTATCTCTTGATCAAGATTAGCTGTGCGGCGATCAGCAAGCACGACAGCATAGAATTCCTCAAAGGTAGTCTTGGGCGTAACATCAAAGCGTTTGTCCTGTGAAAGGAGTGTTAGTAGACAGAGACATATAAGTGAGGGTTACTCACATCAAGAACATCCAAAACATCATTTCGCGGGCCTCGAAGTGACCGCTCTTCTTCCTCAACCACATCCCAAAAGAGATCTAGGGGGGATGAACCCGAATTACCCAAGATTCCAAGATAACGCGGGTCTTCTTTAATCAATGGGTAGATGTTCATCCATTTGCTGCCGGCCTTGATCTTGCCCTGAGACCTCAGCTCTTTCAGAAGTTCAGTAAACTGCTCACGAGCATGGCGCTCTTTTCTTGCCTTTGCGGCTTTCTGTTGTTGACGCGCATCATTGAATGCCCGTTCAAGAGACTTGATATGGTTTTCAAAGACAGTCAAAATATCTGACTTGCTGAGGGATTTGAACTTATCGTCATTTTGCACCTGGTCATTTGACTGAATGATCGCATGCGCTTCAGACCACCGTGTGTACGGCTCGAGCTCGAGTGACTTCAGAATGTTCACCAGCTCATCCATTGCAGCTTTGCGCTTAACGGATTCCTGTTCGGCGTGCTCTTTCTTGAGTTCAAGAACGTACTCCTCGAATAATTGGCGCCTTTCATCATCATCATCTGTAGATCTGAAGATAGTCTCGCCCTCAATAATCGGCCGAATGGTCTTCCAGCGACTATAATGCTTGATTTCAGGATGACGCTTCAGCATGGTATTGAAATCTGCTCTGAGCTTAGCGAATCTTTCTTTCGCCCGATCCTTTTCCTGCATGCGAACCTCGACCGCGTATTTTTCAAAGGCTGCCTTGCGGTCTTTGGGGTCTTTCAGAGCACGGTATTGAGGATCCTTAACCGTTGCGCGAATAGTCTGCTCCCAAGACCAATCGGGTTGTACATTGTGGCGTCTGAGCATTTTCATGAACGCATTTTCTGCCTCCTCAAGTGAACCGTACTCTGGCTCTGTAGTCGCCCCCAACATAGGGGCAGCCACAAGCCCATTGGCATCACCAGAGCCATATCCGCCACGCCTATCGCCATATCCTCGGTCGTAGTCGTCGCGTTCACGCTGCTGTGGATACGAGGAAAATGAGCTAACACCGCCTGCCACAAACGTTGGCGCCCTATGCGCATGAGTTAGTACGTGAAGATCCAAGAAAAAAGATATATAAAATGCTCTGAGATCAAAAGACATACGCTGCGGGCGGAGGTTGGGCCGTCTGAGCTTGCGCCAAAGCATTTTTATAGACATCTGGTATCTCCCAAGTGCTTTGCTTGGTCTCCGTATTGTACCAGTACTTTCGACCACCATCGGCAGTATACTCTTTCCATGGTTGATTCGCCAAAGCACGCTATCGAATGAGACAAGGTTAGTATATACAAACGTAGAGTATGGGAAAAAACGTACCTCGACGGGCGTCATCAACTCCGCAGGCTTATTCCATTGTGTGGCTTTTGTCTGGACATTGTAATAGTATACCCTTCCATCGGTGTTGCGAGCCTCCTGCCAAAGAGAAGGCGCCCCTGGGCCATTCATCGGATTCATAATGTTTGTGGAAAGTTCCCCAGAGGAACAGTGCTGTTGCTCAGATGGAACACGCGCGAAGCTCGAAAAAGTAGTGTCCGAAGCTCTGCCTTCGTTTCAATCAAAGATGTTTGTATTGTTTGCATCCATGCCCCATACACCGAGCATCATCTCCGACAACCCTCGAAACTCTTTTTAAATTGGACGTACATTGACAGAGTCCATTGAGCAGTTCGCTCTAAATTTCCTGATTGTCGCGTGTCACTTGCTACCGCTAATCGGCAGATGGGTATGCGGTAGTTGTTCTCACAATGCCGAGCCTCGAAATCCCTGGGGAATTTCTAAGACATTCTGTGTTAGATACAGTTGTCCCGCATGCTTCAGATATAGATCTGGAGGCGGCGCTGACGTCTGCCTTGGAAGGGGGAGCGGATGATTTATCGTCTGTTCTCTCATTTGTACCTCAGCGCTCACTTCTATTCTTTGGTACGTAGATACCTGGTCTCCTACTCGAGCTGTCTCTTACTCATAGATAGTATTATACAGATGAGTTCTGCACCGCCCGCATCGTTCTGAGACTCTCCAACTGCTCGCAGGCGAGCCTAAAACAGCATCTTCAGCACCTGGAAGTGAGGCTCGACGTCTTCGCCATCGATCCAGCTGAAACAGTTGCTGAGAACCCTACACCTACTAGGGACCTAATATTCTCAGGGGTCGTTAACAGAGATGAAGAGCCGCTGGTAGTGGTGAATGAATTTGAAGGAGAGGCAGGGAGCGGTAACCATGTCTACGTGATTTGGAGCATTGAGACATTTCTCAGTATGGGCCGCCATGTCTAAAGTCTACTACTCATTTCACTAACCATGCCAGAACGCCCTCGCATACGGATTCAGCACCCCTCTCTTCTATTTATTGCATCCGTTAGCCTCAACCCGTCTGAAAGTCGACAACAGGAGTCCCGCGACGACGACTATCTTCCTTCATTGATTCCCGCATCTATAAACATTCTGCAGCCATTGTCGTCTGATAACGCTTTCCCACACAAGGATCCTTTTCTGCCAGCGTCTAGACTTCTGCGAGTTGTACCAGCACAAAATAGCGAAGATCCTATTTATAACGTCCAGCAACAATCAGGTCATCCGATACGGGTTGTGCCTGCAGCCAGTGCAAGGATACGATACTCTCGGTTGAATTCTTATTCTGGACGGCCAACAACCGTAGCAAGCCTTGATTTCGAGGTGACACCGTTCCTCAGTTGTGAAGTTGTCTTCGATAAAGCAGAACTCCACATGTCAGATGGGAAAATCGAAACCCTCTCTGATGCTTCAGAGCTAGTTCCGCCCATATCGTGTCGTCCACGGGATGACGTTACTTTAGTGTATAAACTGACACCAGAATATGGCCCAGATCCTAATCCCTCGACAACGGTGATGGTCAGCATCTTGGACATCCGTTTGGAGGCCACTATTAAACTATCAGACAATTGCAACCCGCAGATTCTGATGCAATGGAGGACAAATGTTGATTTTTCCATGGCCCTCAACCCTACGTTTGGTGGACCAAGTCAGGCTTTGCAACGGACCAACCGGCCCGCTAGTCTTCCTATGACGCCGAATCAATCCAACACTGCAACCGGAGGGCCTCCTAGCAGAAGCTCCTTCCGAGAAAGGGCGTATTCTGTAGCAGATATGGGAGTAACCGTGTCATTTTCTGGCCCTGCGAGTGTGGTGGTCGGGAAACCCTTCTCTTGGAACGTTTTCATTGTCAATCGGTCAACAACACCTCGTAAATTCGCTTTGATTGCCATTCCACGAAGGAAGCGAGCCGATCCAAGGAGTCACGTAGCCCGACCATCGTCTTCTTCGCTCACAAGTCGACGGGAGGATCAAGTGGCCGAGGCCGTGACAGATGATAATATCGTTCATGCCATGCAGAAGAGTGTGGCAGGGCAAGAGGCCGAACTGGTCTGTCTGAGCACGGATCTCCGGGTCGGGTAAGTCTTACCTAACTGCGCAAATGATCTACTTATATTACAGATAGACTGATTCGATGTGTTTGGATAGTCCACTTCTACCAGGAACATGTTTTGCGACAGAACTAAAGCTGCTTCCGTTGGCAGTGGGGGCGCTCCATTTAGAAGCCGTGCGTCTTGTGGAGGTCAACACGAATGAGACGACAGACATCAAAGATCTCCCGGATATCCTATCCTTTGATAGGAAAGGAATACCACCTTAGGATACGACTTAGAGTACCGTACATACACAATATCGTCATGGAAGGCAGGAAAGCCTCCTGTGTTGATATAATTTAGACTTTCATGTGATTTAGAAACCGGCGGCTAACATGCAGGGAGAGTATTCTGGAGCAGCACTTCCATTATTACTTACTATTTATAACAATGGAAGCGATAATAAAAGCAGTAAAAGAAAAAAAGGGGCCAAAAATATATTCTCGGCTGGTAAATCTTACAGTGAACCAGTCTATTATTCAAACTAATGATTCGGCCCCAGAGGCAGAAAAATTATGCAAAGCGGAAGGCGGCGGCAAGGCGGACACAATGACTGGGCAGCTGATTCAGAGTGGGATTGGATCTACGCGCCCGCAATACCACCACTTGTATTAAATAGGTACGGCAGCCTTATTGCCTCTTGACACTGACACACGACAATCTGAAACCCCATCAAGATTCTATCCCCCCAAGCTGGACAGGGTGATCGACCTTCATCACTGGCTATTTAGTGGAGACCTATCCCTCTGACGTCGGTCCATATTCCATATATTTTTACTGGGTTAGCGTTGTGGGTTTCTTGTCCGACTTGCCTCCCTTCTTTTGCCCTTGACCTCTCCTTTGCGTCATACTGGCTGGATCCCGCCGAGCGGAATCTTGCCTTCGCCTTCGATCCTTTTCCACTCCCATTATCTATTAATTTTCGGTTTTAATTAGCTTCACCATGTTCTCCGCGGCGCGTCGAAGAATTCTGGATGGAATCAACCGGAGATACATCTATGGCCGTTTGGTAAGTGTTAGAACATTCATGGCTTTTTTACAAACACCTTTGATATACAACCCGTATCTTTCTTGCACAACCACTGACAACTTATTAACTTCTTGTATATAGCCCTTGCTCCACAGCATAATCTTCCTCATCGAAATGGCGGTTGCGATGCGGCTGGCGGCCAAATTCAACTCCTACTATGCGGAGAAGCCGGGTAAGCCTCTTATTGGTACCTAAACGCATCAAAGGCGACAAGCTAATTCAGTCTGTAGTGTTGACTACTATGGTGACCAATGCGGTAAATATCCCTTATGATAACGTCTTTGTTTTCGGCAAACACAACTAACCTTGAATTCTGTAGGTTCTTGGCGGAGTTGCGGATACAGTTGCGCAGCTGATTACGGCGTTCAGAACTCGACCGGGCCGACCGAATTATGATCCTGGTGATCTCATCTCAATCGAAATTCATGATCTTGATAAGGAGAAGCCACCGGCTCTTGGGGAGCTGGGACACGCGAGACAGTTGCCTCCGCCTTTTGATTTTGAGCGACTGACCCGGTTCATGTCATATGGTTTCTTCATGGCACCGATCCAGTTCAAGTGGTTCGGATTTTTATCTCGGACATTCCCTCTCACCAAGAAAAACCCGACCATTCCGGCCTTGAAGCGAGTTGCTGTAGATCAGTTTCTCTTCGCGCCTTTCGGTACGGCTATCTACGGACTGCAGGATACATATGGGATGCTAACAGCGCTACAGGTCTGGTGTGTTTCTTCACTTTCATGACACTCGCTGAAGGCGGTGGGCGTAGAGCCTTGACCCGTAAATTCCAGGACGTTTACCTGCCTACTCTTAAGGCCAATTTCGTCCTCTGGCCAGCTGTACAGGTTCTTAACTTCCGGGTCGTTCCAATCCAATTTCAAATTGTAAGTTGTTGCATTGTTACCCCAAGACAACAATCCGAGACTGTATAAGGCTAACTTCATTGTTCTCTTTTGTAGCCCTTTGTGTCCTCTATTGGTATCGCTTGGACTGCGTACCTGTCCTTGACCAACTCTTCTGAGGAAGATTGATTAAATCACCTGCGATGATGACATGAATGGTTTCGGGTGGGTTTCGGGTCGTCAGTTATTTCATATCTGCCGCTCTCTATTTTATTTTTTCTTGTGTCACTAGATGATTTCTGGGCGTTGTATATCATCGTTGGGGTTCTGCTGCCTTATTCTTATGGCTGGTGTCTAGGTCTTTCCCCTTTCGGTGGGACGGTTCAAAAGGTGTCAATTTCACTACTGGTTGTTTTCACACGCATATCATTAAACAAGGTGTAACACCATCTACACATTGTTTCACTGATCTCTGTCATATGATTGTCGCCGTAGACGTCGAGGTGGTATAGTGCCAATCGATGAAGTGCCATGGATGATTCTTTCTGTTTCCACTCCTCGGATAAGGTAAGGAGAAATAGGCAAGAGGGAGGGGCAGGACCCCTCTACACTTACGTACGAGAACGGCAGAGCGGTAGTATATAATTCCATTACTTGAAGCAAAGCGATCTACATTAGCTAGATCCGAGGCTATCGAGAATGCAAACATCTAGAGGGCCCTGAGGTCCCCGGACCCTTCCGTCATCATTGACATCAGTCCCGCAACAGTCCGATGCGTCAGCGAATCTCTCACCGGTGGCCCCACCAAACGAGACAAAACAATGTGCCTCTACCCCGCCGCTGAACCGATCGCTTCTATCAGGAGACTGCTGTTCACCGTGAAACGTATTGAGTATTTCTAGTCTTCCCCTCGCTCATTTAAAAGGTACTCCGCCCACCTTCTTGCTGCTCTGACCTTCCACGCTGACCACCCCCACCTTTTGTGATAGAACATCGTCCATAATGTCTCTCTCCAACAAGCTTGCCATCACCGATGTCGACCTCAAGGACAAGCGCGTCTTGATCCGTGTATGTACCTACACCGAATGAAACCAGATCATTCGTGCAGACCAGCCAATGCTAATGTTTGACAACTAATAGGTCGACTTCAACGTCCCTCTCGATGCGGAAAAGAACATCACCAACAACCAGCGTATCGTCGGTGCTCTGCCTACCATCAAATATGCTATTGAGAATGGTGCTAAGGCCGTTGTCCTCATGTCCCACCTCGGCCGCCCCGATGGCAAGGTCAACCCCAAGTACAGCCTGAAGCCTGTCGCTGCTGAGCTGGAGAAGCTGCTTGGCAAGAGCGTCATCTTCGCCGAGAACTGCGTCGGCAAGGATACTGAAGAGACTGTGAACAAGGCCACCGGCGGCCAGATCATCCTCCTTGAGAACCTGCGTTTCCACGCCGAGGAGGAGGGTAGCTCCAAGGATGCCGAGGGCAAGAAGGTCAAGGCCGACAAGGAGAAGGTCGAAGAGTTCCGCAAGGGATTGACTGCTCTTGGTGATATCTACATCAGTAAGTTCTTTAGGATTTCCAATGGAGGTTTGCCTTCCTATGCTAACCTTTATCTCTTAGACGACGCTTTCGGAACTGCCCACCGTGCTCACAGCTCGATGGTTGGTGTCGACCTGCCCCAGAAGGCTTCTGGCTTCCTGGTCAAGAAGGAACTTGAGTACTTCGCCAAGGCTTTGGAAAGCCCCCAGCGCCCCTTCCTGGCCATTCTGGGAGGTGCCAAGGTCTCTGACAAGATCCAGCTGATCGACAACCTGTTGCCCAAGGTCAACAGTTTGATCATCACTGGTGCTATGGCCTTCACTTTCAAGAAGACTCTCGAGAACGTCAAGATCGGCAACAGCTTGTTTGATGAGGCCGGTAGCAAGATTGTCGGCGATATCGTTGAGAAGGCCAAGAAGAACAACGTCGAGATTGTTCTGCCCGTCGACTACGTGACCGCTGACAAGTTCGCCGCTGATGCCAAGACTGGCTATGCCACCGATGCTGACGGTATCCCCGATGGATACATGGGTCTGGATGTCGGTGAGAAGAGTGTTGAGCTGTACAAGAAGACCATTGCCGAGGCCAAGACCATCCTCTGGAACGGCCCTCCCGGTGTCTTCGAATTGGAGCCATTCGCCAACGCTACCAAGAAGACCCTCGATGCTGCTGTTGCGGCTGCACAGTCTGGTGCCATTGTCATCATCGGTGGTGGTGACACCGCAACCGTCGCCGCCAAGTACAAGGCTGAGGACAAGCTCAGCCACGTCTCCACCGGTGGTGGTGCTTCCTTGGAGCTTCTTGAGGGCAAGGAGCTCCCTGGTGTTTCTGCTCTGTCAAGTAAGTAAGCGAAACGCAAATAATGTGTTGAAAGGGGGAAGCGTCGGACAGTTTCTCTTCGTGTCCAGCATGTCTTCTCCCTTATGAGCGACGTTTAACTTTCATAAATGTAATGTACATGAGATGATAAATTAATCCAAAATTAGCCATTCTGTTCATATTTTTGTCATGATAAGAAAGCTTCTGATGATAGAGTGTTATAACATAGTGTTGGGTCCTAAGCTGTGATTATTTTAGAGCAACTAAGGTTGGACGACGGAGCTCAACCTGGTGTGGGAGGGAGTTTGAATTCGTTTCACAATTATATTGTAATATAGGATACGTGACGAAAAAAAAACTGTCGCCACCTCTTCTCGCTTGTAAGCCTGCTGTCAAGTATCCCGTCATAGGTTGCCGCCTCACTGCACATCCTCAATCCCAATATAGTGCAGTTCAAAGAAGACTTGAAGTAAATTCTTCGAGCATCGAGATCTAGCTTAGCCCCGTTGTGAGGTTATGTATAGCGTTTCGTCTTGATATAATTGTAATTCCACGGTCAATTAATTCATTGAGCTGTCATTCATCTCGCGAACCGATACCACGCCCCTCTGCATACTAACGGGATGCTTCGACCTTCTTCAGTTCCTCCCTGCAATCAAACCAGCAATATTAGTACCATATCATGAAGTAATGTGAATAACCACAATGACACCGAGCACCTAGCAACAGCTGGAGCTGGGGCCACCGTGGCCACCATAGGGGACCAATACGCACTTCAACTGCTTCGAGAAGTCCTCGGCCGCATCATCATCATCCCAGCTTTCCTCCCACAGGTGACCATTAGCGCCGTTCGCTGATCCAGACGCTTGTTCGGTTTCTTCTTGTGGCCAGTCTGCAGACAGAAACCGTCGGTCAGCGCAACTCTCATTTCACGAAGCAATCGAAGCTTGCAGTAACGCAATCCGGTCGCTGGTCTTCCTTGCTATTTTCACCGGGCGGAATGCACTGATATTGTCTGACCTTCAACGGGGAAATCCTCGAATTCATCGTCTTCCTCCAACACGGGGGGCTTCTGCTGTTGGGGTTGCTGCGAAGCTTCGGGCTTATCGTGGGATTGCGTTGAGTTCGACATGGTGGGTGGGGGTGAGAACGATGTGTTCGGAGTAGAAGAATAGGTGGTCAACCAGATAGGCTTTTTAAGTGTGGGTATTCAGGAATAGCTCGAATGGGAAAGAACCGGAGCTAAACAGGTAGTGATTATTAGAGTTGATGGGAGAGGGCTTTTGGTTGTTGCTTTCCGTAAAGAAGCGCGGAGAGCGATCGAGGGCTTTGGGTTGGTCACTGACGCCAGACACCTGAAAGCCAAGACCGACAATTAGTAGTAGTTAGTTAAGGCCAACCCGGTTTGTGACTAATTAATGTCCATTTCTACACAAAAAGGAAGTACACACCCTTTTTGAGGCTCTCGGAACTGCCGGAGACACTGTGGGTTTTGAGATCTCTTAACTAGTAATTCTTAAGTTCACAATTAAATCAAAAGGAAAAAAAAGCCCGTATAAAAGTTAAAGTAGCAAAACCAGGATTGATCGGATATATGCCTACCGAATTAATTCACTGAATGGGACCAAAGAAGAAAATGTATGCGTTCATAATATTCTCATTAAACCAAGGTATTAACAGTAGTTCTTCCATCCACTGGCAGGTCATGGTTCTTTACCCTTTATCGCATGGCCGAATGCTCCGCCTCGCCGCCATAGTGGACCACGGCTCTACTCCGTACTTAACCCATTCATCTTACTTATCGCGGCTCTTATGACCGTGACCTTCTTTTTCTTTCCTACATATTGTTCTTGATTTCCCGCTTTTCCTTCCTGTATCCCAGAAGGTTATGTTCCTGGAACCCTTTCACATCCTTGATCCGTATCTGATGGGAGAGTATACTATCTTCTTCCCATTCTGTTTGCTTCCGTCTCTTGGGGTTTGCTCCCCTCCGGCTTGCGCTCTGACGTCTGAGAAAAATTGATTACGATTTCAATCCATTTTTCGTTCCATCTCGTATCCATTTGCGACGGTTCGCGCGACCTGCACCCTTCACCATGCTCAAAGTAGGCTCGTGGTTATATGGCAAGAAGGCTGGTGCCAATGCCTCGACGCAATCTTTGGACTCGTTGGTTGAATTGCGGGACCGTGAGTGTTTCTTTAGCAATCACCTCAATGTGCTATGCGTGCAGTGATGTACTGATTTGTGTCTCGTCGAATGTGTAGTTGAGGATGCTATGCGGGGTACGTACTTCTCACTTACCGTGATGCCCGAAACACCGTCAGGATATGGACTAATGTTGTCCGAGAATAGCTGCAACCCTAATCCTAAATGATGACGTTGACGGCGCCGAAGATGGCCTTTCGGAAGGAATTTCGTCTTTTCACAATGTGTGTATTATCCGTGATGGAGGAGCATTACCACTGCTCTTTAAGGATCCACAGGGGCACTTTGGATGCTTTTACTTACAACTCCCTTTTCTTCATTTATAGCTTGGGCGAGGGGTTGTTGCATTTATCCGGGCGACACTGGGGTTTGAACAGGAGATTATGCGCCAAGGTCCGTGGATTCTTGGTCTCTCGGCAAGAACTAGGTTGATCACTGACCCCTGGCAGCATCGGAACGACTCAATACGGCCGAGACCAGTGCAGCCAATGATCAACATAAGGCTCAGCACAACTCCCATGCTCCTAACACTTACCACTCACCGATTTATTCGCCGGGCACCGAGTTCGCTCTTTGTCAGGCGATGGCTCAGCTCATGAGTGCTGTTGTGGGTGTGCTTAATGAGAGCCTTACAGAAAGTATCAAAGGGTTCTATAAAATGAGAAAGGCATACATCACGCTAGACGGAATCCTCAAGATGGAGCAGGCATATATGCAGTCAATTTCCGGTAGTGTGTCTCCTGCAGACCAGGGCGAAGCATCCAAACCCAACCCGACAGCCACCGTGGAGGCTAAAGGGCTATCCCAAAGGTTGTCTGATCTAAGTATCTCTCAGGATAGCAGCAAATCTAGGCAGTCGATTGAGTCATCGACGCCTAATCCCGTGGATATGCTTAGCCACGATCCCGATTCTGATATCTTCAAAAACCAGATTGATGTCTTCGTGCACTCTGGTTCTAACTTTTGTTTTGGTATTCTTCTTCTTGTTATCTCCATGGTTCCTCCGGCCTTCAGCAAACTGCTCAGCATCATTGGATTCTACGGAGATAAAGAGCGGGGACTGAGGATGCTATGGCAAGCTAGTAAGTTCAACAATTTGATCGGGGCACTTGCTGCTTTTGCGATCCTCGGTTATTATAATGGTTTCGTCCGATACTGCGATATTATGCCAGATCCAGTTCCGGGAGAGCAGGGCGACGTGCAGGGCTATCCTCAGCAGAGGCTCGAGGCCCTCTTAGCGCAGATGAGGCAGCGATTCCCCAAGAGTCAGCTCTGGCTGCTCGAAGAGTCCAGGATGGAAGGGGCGAACAAGAATTTGGAAAGATCTCTGGAGCTTCTATGCGGTAAAGAACGCAGTCCGCTCAAGCAGGTCGAGGCTTTGCGGGTGTTTGAGCGGAGCTTGAATGCGATGTACCTTCACAAGTATGAATTGTGTGCAGAAGCATTTCTCGAGGTTTGAGCTCCTCTTCAAGCGGAACTTGTGTATGAACCTGCTAACGAGCGCTTAGTGTGTGGAGTTGAACTCCTGGTCTCGCTCATTATACTATTATATTGCAGGAGCATCTCATCTCTCCTTATACCGGAGCACTATCATAACAGACGCTAAACAGGCTGAAGAGCACGCAAAAAAAGCTACAGAGTACTTCCGCACTGCGCCAACGTTTGCCGGAAAGAAACGCTTCATGGCACGACAATTACCTTTCGACGTATTCGTTGCACGAAAAATTGCCAAGTGGGAAGCGCGAGCGAAGGAGTGGAGTGTGCCCCTTGTGGAGGCAGTCGGCGTTGATCCCATCGAAGAGATGATCTTCTTTTGGAACGGACATAGCCGGATGACACAAGCACAGCTAGAGGAATCAATGCAGAAGCTCGCCTGGTCCGAAAGCGACGAAAACAAGATGTGGTCCCGAGAAGGCCCCGAAGAGAAGGCAATTCTACAGCTATTGCGTGCGGCCAACTTGCGTGCGATGCGTAAACATGACGAGTCCCGACAATTGCTTAAAGAGTCTGTCCTCAACCATGACAAATCTCTGTTCACCGGTCATCTTAAGGACAACTGGATTCATCCAGTGGCCCATTTCGAGATGGCGGCTAATCTCTGGATGGAACGTGCCGGTTATATAGCCGCTCACGATGCTCCGGCTACCGAGTCCAAGGCTGCTAACGACGAGGAAGTTACACCACTCGAAAGACAGCAGGTGCGGGAGTGCAAGGAATACCTTGAGAAAGCTGCGAGATGGGAAAGCTACGAGCTGGACGCTCGTATTGGTCTCAAGGTGACCGCTGCCATGGAGGCAGTGCGCAAGTGGGAGAGCAGGCACTCTACTCCCACCAATTGATGAATTTATGTATTACGATCATATACATGTATCTGCATGAGCTCTCTTTGCAAGATATACGATGGGTAGAATATATGAATAGAGGACTACATGGTGGTTTGAGGAATTACCGCAACTGCCCAACAGACTATTGAAACATGGCTCAACTCATAGACAGCTTTGTTACCCCCTCTGTCCTACACAGGTTGCCTATGGCTTGCTTGTATTTGGTTGAAACGTTAATATTTCGTTCGAAGATATCGCGGGTACATTCTTGATTACTTATGAGTCAAGAATCTGCGCATGAGCGTCATGTTATTTAAGATGGCTTTGCAGTCCCTTGACGTCTCACGTGACACGCGATGGACCCGGTCCACTTTTCTTGGTCTTTCCCCAGCGATCGTCCTTTTTAGCGTCCAAAACGCTCTCGGAAAATATTCCGCAGAGTGGTTCAGCAGGCTTGGCGAATGAGTTGAACGCGGATATTATGCCACTCAACTACAATTAGCTTTGAAAAAACCGAGCAGCGACTAATAAGATGTCACGATTGGACTTCCACTGGCATCCCTGGATTGCTGGTGACTGCGGGTGAATGATCATCAATACGGGCTTCAGCCGAGCTGTGACCCCACTACATAACTAACTTAGCGGCGAATGAATTTACCGGCAAATGAAGATGTGGTCGGACGTCCGATTACGGTCTCGGAGTGGTGACTCGGTTAAGACGGCTTTGTCGCCGGCCGTTGGAGAAGAACTTTATATAGTTCTGGTTCCTGTCAAAATCGCTCGAATTGCCTAGACTTTCGATTTTGCCTGGAACCAGTGACGTTTAATCACACTGCTCGGTTGCTCTTGTACGCCAATTTGCGTTTCCCACTCCTGTCTCACGGGAAAATCATCCCTTGGGGACTCTTCAATACTTTACAGAATTTTCTTGGCAGCCTGCGTTATCTACGTCATTTGTGAATGAAGCCATGGCAAGAGACGAAGAACGCTCTTCATTGCATAGCTCTCTCGACGATGATAGCAATTCACTAGAGCAGCGGCGCACCAACTACGATGAACGGCCCAACACAGCGCTGGAGAAGCAGAGCACGGCGGCCTCTGCCCTGTCAGTCTTTGAACAACGCGCGCAGTCGGTAGTTTCAAGAATTCGCAGTCGAGAACCTGGTCAGACTGCACGCTTCACGCACCCTCTGACACATACCAAAACATCGACTGATGTGATTGTGGACTTTGATGGGCCTGATGACCCATATCTCCCGCTTAACTGGAGTTTTAGGAAAAAGGCTATCACCACTGTATTATATGGGCTGACAACAATGGGTATGTAGCTCTTTGCCTCTATAATAATTCTGTAGAGTTCTAACAAAGCTTGAATTACAGGTGCGACTTGGGCCAGTTCGATGTATGATCCAGTGCCTTATTTTACGTTTTCCGTAATAGCATACTGATACAAGGACAGCTACTCCACAGGCACGAGACAAGTCGATGCGGAATTCGGTGTTGGCGAGGAAGTTGGTACCCTTGGTACAGCATTGCTGCTGTTCGGATTTGGTAGGTTCCAATGCTAGAAATCTCACCCACGTTAAGGTATCCTTGGCTAATGCCACTATAGGGCTCGGTCCGCTTGTATGGGCACCGTTGTCTGAAGTCTATGGGCGTAAACCTGCCGTTTTAGCCCCATACTTCATTGCCGCTGTATTCTCCTTTGGTACCGCTACCGCCAAAGATCTGCAAACTGTTATGATCACTCGGTTTTTCACCGGATTTTTTGGTTCAGCACCTGTCACTAACACTGGCGGTGTTCTGAGTGATATCTGGACCGCGGAACAGCGAGGAGCAGCCATCGTTGGTTATGCTATGGCCGTAGTTGGAGGACCGGTGCTGGGACCCATCGTTGGTGGTGCAATCGTTCAAAGCTATCTTGGTTGGAGATGGACTGAATATGTCAGTACTACATTTTATTCGTACAATCACCGACGGACTCTAACATCTATTCTTCCAGCTCACCGGTATAATGATGATGTTCTTCCTCCTGATGGACGTTCTGTTCCTAGATGAAAGCTACCCTCCGGTATTATTAGTCTACAAGGCCCAGAGACTTCGATTTGAAAGCGGTAACTGGGCTCTCCACGCGCGGCACGAGGAATGGGATGTCACATTCAAAGAACTCGGCAACAAGTACCTCATCCGCCCCTTCCAGCTCCTGACAACCCCAATTTGTTTCTTGGTTGCCCTTTACGCCTCATTCGTTTACGGTATCATCTACCTCAGTTTGGCCGCTTTCCCCGTTGAATTCCAAGAAGTCCGAGGCTGGAATCAAGTTGTCGGCGCATTGCCATTCCTGGGATACCTAGTCGGAATCCTCTTCGGCGCGGCCGTCAACCTCCTCAACCAAAAGTTTTACGTTAAGCGCTTCAAAGCAAACAACAATTTCCCCGTTCCGGAAGCCCGCCTTCCCCCAATGATGCTAGGATCCGTTTTCTTCGCCGCAGGCATGTTTGTGTTCGGCTGGACCGGTCAACGAGACATTCACTGGATCGGCCCCATAATGGGTGCCGTGATGATGGGCTTCGGCTTCTTCACCATCTTCCAAGCCGCCCTCAACTATCTGATCGACACCTTCCAGAAAGTCTCCGCGAGCGCTGTGGCAGCTAATACTTTCCTCCGGAGTGTCTTTGCCGGCTGTTTCCCGCTCTTCGCCAGTATCATGTTTCGCAAGCTGGGTGTACCCTGGGCTGCTAGTGTGCTGGGCTTTGTTTCAGTTGCGCTTATACCCATTCCGTACTTGTTTTACATCTTTGGAAAGCGCATCAGAGCTGCTGGGGAGTGGTCTCGTGATTCTGTATATGGGCACTGAGCGCCCGCTGTCTTCGTGACCAAATGATTATGACGACATCATGTTCAAGAGATATGGTTGAGTAATGTTCTATTTTTGTTGATTCGTGCTTCATATACCCCTTGGCGAAGCAAGTCTAAAAGTTATTGTTGTTTTCGTGATCCTCTAGAGATACCAGAGCTGTGACTTGGGATACAGGCGATTCTTTAATTACGGGACTGATTATATGCGAATAATAACAACTTGGTTTAATATCAATTATGGCAATGAATACAAATATAAATGTGTAGCCTCAAAATGAATAGTGAAAGGAAAGTGGTCCTGTTGGACAAAGTCACAAAGGTTATAAGATAAAGAAAATAGAATGAATGTGTAATAAAAGTCACCAATTTGGACAAATAAGTGAGAGATGGAGGCTGGCTCCGTTCTTTTTCTTTTTCTTTTTTCGCTCTTCTTTTTCTCAATCTTTGGTTTTTTCTTCTCTTGCTCTCTATCTCCCCTGTGTATTCTTTTGTTTTTTCTTTCTTTCTTTCTTTCTTTCTTTCTTTTTTCTTTTCTTTTCTTTTCTTTTCTTTCTTTTTTTTTTTGTGGAA